CTGATGATGAATTAATCGAAAACGTTCGTTCGCCTAACTCGACTTCCTTAATACTTACATGGGTATCATCGCTGAACTTAACTGTCTGCCTTGATCCTGCTACACCCCTGCTTAACATTGGTGCTGGTCCGGAGCCGAAGTGCATGCCGTTGGAGAAAAAACGGGGTGACTTGTATGATTCATTAAACAGAACACAGGAATAGAAACACCCCGCTCACTTAAAGTAAGAGGCCTTGTGATTAATTTCAGGAAAGGTAAATATTCCCGTGTTTTGACCCTAACACTAACTCTATCATAAAGCTAAACTGTAAGCTTATCCAAATTATAACCCTTAACATAATCCTAACCCTAGCGTCAACTCTGACCTTTAAGCCAATCCTATCTCTCACCCTAATCCTAGACGCCATTTCCTGGGAATTTGGCGCAAAGTCACATGTATTGTGGGCGGTTCCCGCTACCGTGCCTCGTCTGGGTGGATATACAAGTCACCCTTACCAAATAAAACACGAAAGATCGATCCTTATGTCAGATTGTACTAAGTACGGGGCGAAACATCTGCCTGGTCCCCGCCTTTAGACATTGAACTAAAAAATTCCGCCCCTCCCCCCGTCGATCAAACAACGCAGAATGAAGCTGCTAAGTGTTGACTAAGACGGTTAGCTCATAGATCACACGGTAGGCCCATCTTCTGTTCTCCAAATTATTCGCTGGGCCTGTCTTAGATGCCCCAGTCGCTCTTGTATGTGAGGCCTGACGTGACAACTGCATTACCAACACGTGAACGACAAAGCGTCGTATGCGTTCTCTATACATCTGATACAATTAACAACAGAAATGACGGAGACGTAGCCGTTTAGGTTGGTTATTGGCCTACGGTGTGCTGAGAGATATAGGCACTGAATTAGGAAAGCAATATTGGTTGACAAGAAGACGGTTTTTAATGTGGTTAACGCGGTATGAGGAAACATGGGATTACCAATGGGCGTCCTAAAAGAGGAAGTAGGTGGCCCTTCGGGTTGGGGAGATCAAGTTCCTTTGCTTCTATATCTTCATCACACCAAATTTGTAGGTTTTAGCATTTGTGAACTGTCTGAACGCACAGTTCACACTATCTAAACGTCTCCTTAGTTTTCCACTTGTGAAAGAAGATGGATGGTGTCACGCAACTGTGCTTATGGCGTAATCCCACGTGAAGTCAACTTATTTGGACTGACGGATCAAGATCCACCTCGCGATAAAAGGACGGAAGATTTCTTGCCTGGCTATCAAACAACAAGTTGTCCGTGCTGCACACCAGTTATTCCGTCGTCCCAAGATTTGGACACAATGGAGCATATGTGCTATTGTGTCAGCATCCAATCACCCATGCAACATGCAGGCGATACAACCTGCCAGCGTCGATACGACGGCCCAATCACAGCATGCACAGATGCGCACACGTCATGCACCCGAGAAGCATGTTAGTTGATTGCGCCTGCCCCTCCCTGGAGTGGTGGACCAGCACTTATTTAATTAGAAAAATATATTTCCTACCAGTCTAATCCGCTGTTCCAATCATATTGTCACTGGATCGACGGATTTGGACAGTCGACTAACACACAAGAGAAGAATGGTTCAGATCCCGTGGAGGGTTTTGTCTTACTTGTAAGTAAATGAATTCTAGGCTAGGATCAATCGA